CTCCCCCCAGAAGAATTTATTTCAAAGGACGGCACTGAATCTGCAGCTCCAGGAGAGGAATATATCTGATCGGAGCACATGGGAGCAGATGAAGGGGGAGGAGGAGAGACTGGAGCACATCCTGGCCCACCAGGCCTTGAGATCGATGACCCCAATTAGAGCAGCCAGTCCACAGAGAAGACCACATGGCCAGCCCCACTATGAGGCATGATGCCCCTCACTGACCCTTGGCCTTGCAGGGGACAGCACCAGAGACACAGTGTGGGAATTGCACCCGATCTGATCCCGCCACACTGAGGCAAAGCACTGGGGGAGTGCAGCGGAACAGCAAGGGAATGGAGCAGCAAGGTCCCCAGGGAATGCTGAAGGCAGACTTTGGGGCCAGGGCGTGGTGCCCCAACAGACTGGACTGGAAAACTCTCCTAAAGGCCAATGATCCTTGAACTAACTACAAGCTAAAACAAAAAAAGAAAAAAAAATTAGTACATTCAAAAGCAACTCAATTAAGAATATCCACAATGAAGCATGAGGAAAAAGTAAGCCGGCACCTGAGCAGAAAAGATATTGGTCAGTGTAAGACATGGAAAAAATAATAATAATCTATAAATTATTAAGGGTTCATGAGGGAAGAAGGGTGGGGCAGGGGGGAAATAAGGAGCTGATACCAAGGGCTCAAGTGGAAAGAAAATGTTTTGAAAATGATGATGGCCACAAATGTACAAATGTGCTTGACAATGTATCTATGTATGTATTGTGATAAGAGTTGTATGAGCCCCCAATAAAATGATTTATTAATAAAAAAAGACATGTAAGCTATATTCTAACATACATGCCATTAGCGTCTTTGAGAGTGAAGTTGAGACAGAAGCAATAGCTGGAGAGAAAGTGACCACAAATTTCCCAAATGGATAAAAGATGCCAGCCCACAGATCCGGGACGCCCAACAAACGCCAAGCAAAGGAAAATAAAACCACAGCTAGGCAATCTTTGTTAAACCTTTAATCCTAAATGTAAGATTGGAGATTCCTCCTGGGAATCCCTTTTTCCACTAATCATCATTATTACCATCACCAT